CCAGTTGTTCAATCTGTGCTGTACCTCTGATGATCTCATTCCTAATTGTATCCATACTTGTCATTCCTAAGGAGAACATCAACATCTTCACTTTTACCACTTCCAGTTATTTCTCCTGTCTTTTTGTCAATGCCACTGTCTCCTGACCATGCAACATAGCTGGTCTCACCACTGTCTTGTAAACTTTTCCTTTGACCTTTGCTGACACCCTTTTGTCACAAATCAATCCTGAAAGTTTTCTCCATCCACTCCCTCCTGCCTGGACTCTCTTCTTCACCTCTTGACCACATTCCCCATTTTAATGGACAGTGGACCCATTACGGGCAGCACGGTGGCACAACTGGTAGAGCTGCTGCCTCTCAGCGAGCAGGTCCTTGGTTCAAACCCCGGTCCAGGGGCCTTTCTGGGTGGAGTTTGCATGTTCTCTCCGTGCATGCGTGGGTTTTCTCCAGGTACTCCGGTTTCCTCCCACAGACCAAAAACATGCATGTTAGGCTGATTGGTAACTCTAAATTGTCCCTAGGTGAGTGAGAAAGTGAATGGTTGTTTGTCTCGTTTGTCTCTATGTGTCCCTGTGATGGACTTGCGACCCGTCCAGGGTGTACCACGCCCCTCACACAGTGATTGCTGGACATGGGCACCAGCGACCCCCGTGACCCAAAATGGAATAAGCGGATAAAGATAATGGATGGATGGATGGATGGACCCATTACAGTGGTGCTTGAATATTTGTGAACCCTTTAGAATTTTCTATATTTCTGCAAAATATGACTTAAAACAGAATCAGATGTTCACACAAGTCATAAAAGTAGATAAAGAGAACCCACTTAAACAGTGGACCCCAAGTACTTGAAGTCCTGCACCTTTGTGACCTCTGCTCTTTGTAGCCTCACTGTTCCACCAGCCTCCCTCCCATTCACACACATGTACTCTGTCTTACTATGGCTGACTTTCACTCCTCTTCTTTTAAGTGCATACCTCCACCTCTCCAAGTTATCTTCCACCTGTTCCCTGTTCTCACCACAGATCACAATGTCATCTGCAAACATTATAGTCCATGGAGATTCCTGCCTGACCTCATCTGTTAGTCAGCCCATCACCAGAGCAAACAAGAATGGGCTCAGAGTTGATCCTTGATGCACTCCTACCTCCACCTTGAAGCTATCTGTCACTCCTACAGAACATCTCACCACTGTCCTGCTGTCCTTGTACATGTCCTGTACCAGTCTGACATACTTCTCTGCTACTCCAGATTTCCTCATGCAATACCACACCTCCTCCCTCGGCACCCTGTCATATACTTTTTCTAAATCCACAAAGACACAATGGAGTTCTTTCTGACCCTCTCTGTACTTCTCCATCAGCATCCTCAAAGCAAAGATGGCATATGTGGTGTTCTTTTTGGCATAAAACCATACTGCTGCTCACAAATAGTCACCTCTTGTCTAAGTCTTGGTTGCACAACTCTCTCCCAGATCTTCATTGTGACTCATCAACTTAATTCCCCTGTAGTTGCTAGAACTATGTACATCACCCTTGTTCTTAAAAATGGACACCAGAACACTTCTCCTCCATTCCTCAGGCATTTTCTCACTCTCAAATATGCTATTCAATATTTTGGTCAAAAACCTCACTGCCATCTCTCCAAGCCATTTCCAAACATCTACTGGTATCAGGTCCTACTGCATTCCCTTTCTCCAATCTTTTGAGAGCTTTCTGGACTTCACCATCACTAATCTTACCCACTTCCTGGTCCACAGTTCCGATGACTTCTACTCGTTTTTCTTTTTCATTCTGTTCATTAATTAGCTCCTCAAAGTACTTCTTCCATTTTCCCATCATACTCTCCTCACTTATCAGAACATTACAATTTCCATCTTTAAATCTTTAACAAGCCTAACATACTGTACATCCTTTCCAGCTTGATCCCTTTGTCTTACAAATCGGTACAAGTCCTTCTCGCCTTCTTTAGTGTCCAGCCTCCCATACAACTCATCATATGCCATCTGCTTTACATTTGCTACCTCCCTTGTTGCTCTACATTGCATCTTCTTATATTCCTGTCTCCTCTCTTCTGTCCTCTCACTGTCAGTTCTTCTTGGCTAATCTCTTTCTTTGAATGGTGTCCTGCGCTTCACTATTCCACCACCAGGTTTCCTTATCATCCATTCCCTGTCCAGATGACACATCAAGTACTTTCCTATCTGTCTCTCTAATTACTGTTGCTGTAGTAGTCCAGTCATTTGGAAGCTCTTTCTTACCACCCAGAGCCTTTAACAGCTTGTTTCTGAACTCCTCACAACATTCTTCCTTCTTCAGCTTCCCCCCATTTGGTCTTCTTCTCTGATTTTACTATTTTTCTCTTCTTCACAACAACAGTCATTCTACACACAACCATCCAACCCTGCCACAAGCTTACAGTCCCCAATCTCCCTCAGCTTTACTCTTCTACACAGGATGTAATCTACCTTCGTACTCCTTCCTCCACTCTTGTAGATCACTCATTCCTCATTTGGAAATATGTGTTGACTATAGCCATTTCCATTTCCTTGGCAAAATCCACAACCATCTGTCCTTTGTGGTTTCTTTCCTTGACACCGAACCTACCCATCACTTCCTCATCCCCTCTGTTTCCTTCACCAACATGTCCATTCAGGTCTGCTCTGATCACCACTCTCTCCTCCATGGGAATACTTTCTATCAATTCATCCAGATATTTCCAAAATTTATCTTTCTCCTCCTCATCACATCCAACCTGTGGAGAATAACCACTGACAACATTTATCATCAGACCTTCTACTTCTACCTTCAGACACATCACACTATCTGACACTCTCTTCACCTCTACTACATTCTTTGCCAACACCTCCTTCAAGACCACCCTTACTCCATCTCTCTTTCTATCCACACCACGGTAAAACAGTTTAAACCCTGCTGTGAACCTTGCTGCCCTTCCACTTGGTCTCTTGGACACATAAAACATCTACATTCCTTCTCTGCATCATGTCAGCCCACTCTCTACCTTTGCCTGTCGTTGTCCCCACATTTAGAGTTGCAACCCTCAGTCCTACATTCTTGACTTTCCTCCTCTCCCTCTGTCTCCTGACACGTTTCCCTCCTCATGGTCTTTGACAAACAGTAGCACAATTTCCACCGGCACCCTATTTGTCAACAGCATTGGTTGCGGTTGTTGTTAACCTGGGCCTCAACTGATCCAGTATTGTTTTGCTTTGATGAACTCACATCATAGATACGCAAAAGTATTTTACATCGGATGCCCTTCCTGACACAACCCTCACCATTTACCTGGGCTTGGGACCGGCTAAAGAGATACACTGGCTTGTTATACCTAGTGGCTGGTTTTACGAGTGCTTAAGTGCAGTGCTGTCAGAAGGAAATGTATTACTTTTTGTGGTCGATAAATGCCATGCAAATAAAGATTTTACACAGCAGAGCTAATTTATTTGAGCTAACTATAAAAGGTTGTACAAGTGTGTAAACACATTTGTTGTAATTTCTCTCTGTGCCTATCATAAAGAAAGTGTGTGAGTGGCAAGTTTTTTTTAGATTTTTTAAAATATTTATAATGCTACAGTTGGAGTGAAACTCGTTTCTTCTTGTTTAATTGTTTCTTATATTTTTGCATAGTATTAAAATGGTAATTAAAAATACCAAAACAAGTCTTTTTTAGGTAACTACAGAAAGTGAATTAATTGTAGCAATTGGTGCCAAACTGGACCAATATTTGCCATACTGTGCCAAATGGCAAAACACCTAGCTATTTCTTAATTAAAACCGCCACAGCTTTGTGCCAGTTTACTTCAGCAGCATGCATCTTTCAACTGGTAATGTCCACATATGGATTCATAGTTTCCTAGAGTTTTTAAGTCTTCTTCATTGTATTTTTAAATGTTATATACGCTAATGTAGACAAACATTAGGAAAGAAAAAAAATTATCCTCCTTTTTTTTCTTTTTCCATCCTCATTTTCTGTGTGCTGTGATGGTTACATTAATAAATCTTCCAAATGTTAGCTTCATTTTGATACCAAGATGATTTCAACAGTTTGTATTTGCCGAGAATCACTTTCACTCAGGCATGTTATTTTCAAGCAGGGATTTCAAGGAAACCCCATGGGTTTATCAGATTAAGGATCTGTTTAAGTTATTTTTCACATTCATTGATTGGAGTTTTAATGGTAATACACATCATTGTCCAAGCTCCAAACACTGGACATACATATATATTAGGCTCCGTTATAATACCTGAACATTTGTTGTATGAATCTGGTATTTTTTCTAACATATTTGTCCATGATCCATCATCACAGAGCTGGTTTCTGGAGAACGTTCCTTTAGTCGTTAGCAAATACTGGTCTAAGTTTTCTTTGTTTGCTGTGACTTTCCTAGGAAAACATGAGGGTTTCACAGGAATATTTCACAATGAGGCTGGTTCATTCAGGAAACCACCCTCGTGCTGCTCAAATAATAAGTTAAGAAACACAGAATCAACACTTCAAATTTATGGGCGTCACTGGGACCTTGAGTACACAATTTCATTCCACCTCTTGTACCACATGTGATGCGAATGACAATAAGATACTTGAGCTTGAAAACCAGCCTAAACGTTTTTATAAGCCTGCGTTTAAACTTTGAACTATCAAATGACTTTATTATTGAGTTATTTCATTATTAAGGTCAACTAGAAGTTGATAAAAATGCCATGGCAGGAGAGAATATTTGTAACAAAGACTGCAGTAATGTGTGTAAGCAAGATTCTGCTCTTTTGTACCTTTCAAATGTTTAATTTTAACTTCTTAAATCAATTTACCAACTTAAATATGCAAAATGTTTCATCCAGTGTGGCTGCCTGAAACAAACTGTGATCCATAAATTATCCTCAACAGGCAATGTGCATATTCTTCAAGGCCTTTAATATGCTTCTGTTTTTCAGTGTCTTCTTTTAGTTTCTTTCTCACATCTGTTTTTCTCTTCCTTTAGGTGAAAAGCCCTACATTTGTCCATACGAAGGCTGCAGCAAACGCTATTCCAACTCCAGCGACCGCTTCAAGCACACCCGCACCCACTATGTGGACAAGCCTTACTGCTGCAAGATGGCTGGCTGTTTGAAACGCTACACAGATCCCAGCTCACTGCGCAAGCACATCAAGGCCCACGGGCACTTTGTTGCCCAGGAGCATGTCAGCTCCACCAGGATGGGGTTGGGGGTGGGTTTCTCTGGGCACCCTGGTGCCACTGAGCTGCCATCTGTAACAGGGCCACACGTCATCATCCCCGGAACTGCTGCAGCTCTCCTCGGGGGGATCGGGACATCATTGCCGTTCTCTGCTCTCTGCCACTCCAGAGCCCTGGTTCATCAGAGGGCACCTCTCCTTCCCATGGGTAGTGGAGGGGGCTGCAGTTTTGGGCCGCTTGGCCTTTCAGACTCCACTCTGTTACACTTTGGACTCTCAGCTGGATCAGTGCTGGGGCTGGGAGGGCTAGGAGGTCTGGGGCAGGCACTAAGGAAGGAGTCTGAGGACAAGGAGGAAGATGACGACGAGGAGGGTGAGGTACTGAACCTGTCTGCAGAGGTGGGGCCGCAACAAAGGAACGCTTTGTCCTGGGTGGTTGTTCCTTCAAAAGCTTTCTTCCTCAAACCTACTGCTGTCAGTTAGAATGTGCAGTATGCACACTTTTATCCTTTTAGTTTGCATTTGCAGTAACGTGTTTACAGAGTATACAGAGCATGCACATTTATGAGAAATCAAGATTTCTGACAACTTTAGAGCAATAAAAAGGCTTTTCTGTTATATTAGCTTTGTGACCATTGATAATTCACATCACCATACTCGTCTGTGATTCACCCTGTCTTACTGTTGACTTAAGTCAGTTTGCGCAACCCATAAAAAAGGTTGTAAAACGTTTAAACGTTCCTCCCTTTGTTGAATTTTAAGTTGCTGCAGAGATCACAGTGCAGGGCAATGGGGTTCGTCTTATCCTTTCTGCAAACATCTTAATGTCATAAACACTTGAACTTTGAGTTGTCTGCGAAGACGTCATACAAATTTGATCAGTTTTTCCGATCTCTGACTGGCGTAAGCCGAACTGCAAATTGGTTTCCAAGTGCTGGAGTTGTTGAAAGCTGAAACAGGAAAATCCAGTGCTAACCACGTAATGAGCCCAGTTTAGCACTGAAACTGGTTTGTTAGCTGTGAAAAAAATTATTCCTACATCTTGGATGTTTGCCCACTAAAATTGCTCAGAGTACTGCTAGAGCTTAGAGAAGTCTGTGTTGTGACGTTAGATGCCACAAGGACAAATTCTCAGCTTATTATGGCAAAAAGCCACATAAATTAGGAAATATGTGATATATAGATGGACTGATTCAGGCTGAATCCCATTTCACTCCTTCCTTGTAACAGTTCAGTTGATTAGGCTGGCCCAACTTTTAAATTTTACATCTGGCATTGTCTCAGTTTTAATACATCTCTTGTAATGTTTTGGGGATGTAGGGTACGGCAGGTGTTCCCAACCCTGGTCCTAGAGGAACACCATCCTGCATGTTTTATTTGTTTCTCTGCTCCGACACACCTGATTTTAATTAACGGGTGATTAACAGGCTTCTGCAGAACACGAGTAAGTGATTAAATCACTGAATCAGGTGTGTTAAAGCAGGGAAACAACTTAAACATGCAGGATGGTGTTCCTCGAGGACCAGTGTTGGGAACCACTTGGGAAAGGGTAAAATGACAGGACCTTTGTCCTTTTAACAAAGATTTTTCATTTACACACTTAAAAAAAAAGACAAATGAATTTGTAGGTGGACATAAATTATTCACAGCAACATTGTAACATCTAGTTTCATGTATTCCAATGTATTACACCCTTAGCAAGATATAAAAACAAACAAAAATAGTATCATATATCCATTCAAAAACATTTTAAAGTCAAAACAATTTTTATTATGTCTAGTTTGACTTGTTTCAAAGTTACCGGTACATATTTTAACTACTGTGTAAAGGTCCAAGGGCTAGGTGTAACACTGGCATTCAGCCTCGCTGACATCACTTTTCTTGTCTTCACTTTGTTTTTTGCAGTATTTTCTATGCAAAAATCACCTGTGATAGACTTGATTAACTACTACAGACCATGAAACAATTTTGACCCATGGCAAGTTCATTGAATGTTTCCATTTTTACTCAATATGCCATTAAAGTCATTTTGAGAAGTGAGACAAAAGCTAGTCCAGCGGCGTGAAAATATTAAAACTGACATATAGTATAGCTGAGGAGAAATGAGACCATGCAACAGTTCTATAGTTAGCGTTAAAAATTGTGACTCTGTCTCTCATGAAATTTACAGCAAATTATGTTACAGTTTAAATAATATTTATATGTTGCCTGTTTTTATTATTATTATGTATTGCTAGGCATGTCGCAATAAACAATAAATCAATTAATCGCATGATAAATGAAAATTATCAACCTCGTTTTCATTTATCGACTTTATCATTTCTTCATGTCTCTTTCCACTGAAGACACTGGATGACAAAAGGCTCCACTCCAGTGCTCTTCACTGACCCCTCCCTTTATCTTTTTCCTGTTTATTAAAATCAGTTTTAACGACCCAAAATCTCATTTTTGGATTGTTAAAAGCAGCTAAGTTGAGAAGCTAAGCTACGAGCTAAACTAATAGGCCAACTTCGGGAAAAAAACCTCCGTCTTGCCAAAGCTCCAAAATTCACGGTTGAAACCCGAGCATTCGTCTAAAAAGTTGTTTTTCTCTGAGAAGAGAAACGGAGAGCTTGTTTACTGATTTTCTTTATTAAAAACTTTGTGTGACAAATGCTATGCTAAAGAGCTCAAACCACACCGAGCATCCGCCATTTTGAGAACCAAAAAATAGAAACGAGAGACAGACCATGTCACGTCAAGGGGCCTCCCTCTCATTTTTCTTACAGACACGCTGCTCGCTCCCTCACTATCCATCCTTCGGTTCAAACAGTCTTATCCTGCCATCCAGCGGTCAAAAAAGGTACTACACACAAAATTAACCAACATTCTTAAATTTGACAATTACTAATTATTGTCAAATTTCAATCATCGTTTATCGCAATAATTTCTGAGACAATTAATCGCCCATCAATTTTTTTTAATGGTGACAGGCCTATGTATCGCATATCTGTGTAATTACAGAATGAGTTGCAATAATTTCACATGAAATCATTCGAAAGCATGTAAAGTAACCATGCAAAGTAGGTGTCTGTTTTTTTTTTTTTTTTACTACAACAGCTTGTGTAAAAAATGCCCTTGAGATCCTGCCTCACCTGTTTGGTTTCAAATTTCACAACAAATTACCACCGGTAAGCAAGCCCCCTGTGAAAAACACACGACTACTCGTAACCAAACAAAGTCACAAAGCAGTGGTCTTATCATTGGTCTCAGCTGCTTGGTTGTTTATTTCATCTTAGCTTTAGGGAATCTTAACTCTTATATCCAGTACAGTCAAAATGTGTGTGGAAGAACACAAAGCTGACGATGTGGCTTTCAGGGTCACAACAAGAAAACTGACGCGACTGAATGTAGGTTTAAAGCTTACTCCACTTTTTGCTGTTTCTTTGTGCTACTTGTCGCTCTGCTAATCATTCAAAGACAATGATCTGGGCAGGATCAGCATAGGTAAAAAAAAATAAAGACAAAATAAAGACATCCACACAACAAATTAGACAAAGATGTGTATTTGTACACGTTTGCTCAAGACGAATGGAAGCAGAAACCTTGTGTGGTCTCTCAAAAGACATATATTCTTTATTAACCACAACTCTAATAAAACCCACCTGCATAATTGCATGTCACTGCATGTTAAACGTTTTTGTATCTTATTATGTGAGTTTGTTAAAACTCGCATTGTCCTCAGTTTGTAATGATAAAATTATAGCAGTTGTCTGTCTGTCGCAGTACCAAATGTGCACTTTTTTAAACAAATGATTTGAATAATTTTGAAGGAAAATGACTGACGATGGCCATATGTGGCCAATATTCATGTTGATATACTTTGTATTGTTTGCACATTGATTTATCCAAATTAGTAAATCAAAGTTGATTATGTAAGTGCCTTGTGTTTCAGCTGAAATATATCACACAGTTGAAACGATGAGAAATATTTACCCAGATGTACAGTGTTTAAATGTACTTTTCGTTACTACCTTTTTTTTAATGTATGACTTGACAACAGATGTTCTTTGTACATCCGAACCCATTGAAACAATTTCTATAAACTTCATCAGTGTGAAATTTTTGACCATGACGCATTGTCAATAAAAACATGAAAAAACTAAATTCCTGATATTGTAATTAATTTGCACATTTTAAACACTTTTGACTTTTTGTTTCTCTGACAAAAAGTACAAGAATCATTCTAATCATTTTTAGACTCTTTTGTAACTTAAGTAATGTTGATGTTATTTTTGTGAGACGCATTTTAATTTCAGTTTGAATTTTCATTTAAATTTGTTATTTTCTGGCGGTTTTCTTGAAATGAGGGTTTTATGGACTCGTCTTCAATAAATAAAGTTAAAACAAATTTACCACAAACAGAAGAGAAGTAGTCAGAGCTCTTTTTGGAGACATTTAAAGGATATAAAATCTTAATGTACATTTCAAAGGAAAGTGGGAGAGGTCGGTAAGTACCAGGTCCATACTCTGTATGTATCAGTTATGCATTTGGTAAGTAATTCAAATTAGTTTATTTATATAGAGCCAAATCACAACAGAAGTTATTTCAGAGAACTGAACAAAAACATTCAAATACATTATAAATGCCAATTAGAAAAGTTTTCTATCCAAGGAAGGAAGCCAGCAGATGAATCGAGTCTTCATTTTGTCGCAGTCTCCCATCCTGAGCTAGCACAAAGGAGACAGTGAAAGGAAAAACTCCTTTTTAACAGGAAGAAACCTCCAGCAGAACCAGACTCAGGACAAGCGTCCATCTGCTTTGACCGGCTGGTTTGAGAAGACAGGAAGGAGAAACACAGAATGGCAGCTCCAGAGCAGGTCCTCAATAAGAGGAGGCTGAAGTACCAAGTTTGTACTCAGTATGTAACAGGTACTGTATTTTCTGCTATACACATTACACGGCCCTATAAGTCACATCAGTCCAAACATGTCTAATAAAGTGGAAAAATCCATAAATACATGACTTCGCCATATACGTTGCTTCTATTATGCGTCGCCGCTGACAAGCTGGAAATGTGAGCCGGTGTTGTGCCAAAAATCGATTGGCTGCCAAATGGTGGCTGTGGGAGCGTGCACGGGAGCACTTTAACAAGAATTTAACAATAACACTTAAAAACAATTATTTGTTTGCTCAACGTTATAGCAAAGGTGTGTCTGAGTCTAACTTTTCCTTAATAAATGCACTTTGACTGTCAAATCAGCTGCATTTCAAAAGCCAATTTGCGGCCGCAGGAGCGTGCACGGGAGGACTCGCTGTGCATTTCTTCGAAATTTAACAAGATTAACACTTATAAACAAGTATTTGTTTGCTCAAAATTATAGTAAAGGTGTGTATCAGTTGAACTTTTACTGAATAAATACACTTTGATGGTCAAATCAGCTGCATTTCAAAAGTATTTGCTGCCTCAGTGTTGCAGGAGCGTGCAGAGGGAGGAAAGCATGAAGGAGGAGTGCTGCGTATTTCTTTGCAAATTAACAAGTTAAGCACCTAAAACAATTATTTGTTTGCTCGACATTATAGTAAAGGTGTATCTCAGTTGAACTTTTACTAAATAAATGCACTTCAATGGTCAAATTAGCTGCATTTTGCCGGGGCGGCGCAGTGAAATGAAGC